GACATCGCTAAGAGTCAGCATGGACTGGAGGGCAAGGAGTTTGGGTTTGGGTTTCTAGTTCGGGTGGGTTAAGAAGTCTCTGGGTGACTCAAACTATTAAGCGTCCAATTACTCACGGGAAGGCTGGAGCTCTGAAGCTCCTCGGCACCCTGCTTTGGGAAGAAAGGCCTGGCGGTCTACTTGCCTGATGACCCTGTGCACCACTTCTACTCTGCACCCACCGCATGCAGCCCCGGGAGTAGGAGGTGACTCCACGGCCACTGGGTGTCCTGGCTGGACTTGGGGTGGGCCATGAGTTGCCTGCTCCCATCCTGCCCAGGCGTGCTGCCCCGCACCGGCACTGGGTTTGTCGTCTGGGAAAGAGGTTCCCAGGTGCGGAGCAGGTCACCCGGCACTTACGCAAGTCTGCATTCGAGCCTGAGGACCCCTGTATCTGAGGAAGCATTACATGACACACCGCAGGAGACACCGAGGAACGTCGAGGAGCCACAGCGAGTGGGAGGGGAAGGGTGGAAGCGTTTCTTTGTTTCCTTTTTCTTTTCTTTCCTCACAAAAATCAGTTGCCTTCGAGCCAACTCCGAGTCATGGGAATGCTCTTCTGTCATCTGTGAGGTTTCAATGCTCATTTGGGAAAGGCAGATCTTCCCAGGTACCCTTGGATAGAGCGGAGTCTCCAACACCTGGTCAGAGCGGAGCATATGGCCCATGGGCACCACTCACGAACTCCACCCACCACCACGGAGTGCTTCGAACTCAGTGTGACCCTATGCGGCAGCGGTTCTCGGCGTGTGGCTCAGACTTTATCCGATGGTCTTAGGAACCCAGACACCGCTCCTCTAGTCTCCAGGCGGGTCCGCCCACAGGCGGATACACCCACAGACGAGTACCCGGTGTGAAGACTGTTACCCAGGCTACACTATGCTTCGAGACAAAATTTCATTGATTTGTCATTAGAAATAAATATTTCACAATATGTAAGTACATAATGCTTTTGTGATGAATCACTCTGCTTTAATGATGTTCAATTTGTAACAATGAAAATACATTCTGCACATCAGATATTTACATGACGATGCCTAACAGTAGCAACATGACAGTTATGAAGTAGCAACGAAAATAATTTTATGGTTGGAGGTGGTCACAATATGAGGAACTGTATTAAAGAGTCGGGGCATTAGGAAGGTGGAAAACCACTGCTATACAAGGTTTCTGAAGCTGTAAATTGACATGGGAGTGGAGGAGCTTGGTTTCAGACAATCACACAGAAAGCTCTCCCCCTTCTCTGCCTTCTCAGGAGCTGTGACTACAGAGGGGGTTATAATCACCCAAGAGAAAATGTAGACATCAGTGGTCTACAAAATGCCAAGTTTGGAAAAAATCTTAAAGAAAAAATCTCTCTCCCTTAGAGAAGCTGGTGGGTGTGAACTATCAACTCTGCAACTAGCAGTCCAACATGTACCCGATAGCGCCACCAGGACTCTTTAAGAAATTACAAGTGGCTTGGTAGTTTCCTTTCATACCAAGCCCAGAAAATCCTGGAGCCGGCCCTGGTTACCCTCCACTCTCTGTGGTAACAGTGCTTTCGGCAGGTGCCACTCACTCCTGGCATACCAGTGAAGACGGCTCTCGGGCCACGAAGAACCTTACAGACTCAGAGACCCTTGTCGCTGACCCATCTTCAACGCAGCTGTTTCAAACGGTTTCACTTGCAGGATTATTGGGGCCAGCGCAGCTAGCAATTATTTTTGGTGGGTGGCACGTGCAACGTGTACGGCGAGCATTAGCATGCCTTGTAATTCTTGGAGTGGTTCTCCATGGTAAAAGATTGCCGGGATGGTATAAATGGGGACCAAGAAAAAAGGGGGTATATATAGTTCAGTTAAAAGCAAACATAGAGTGCAGATTCTGGATTCTGTTCACTTAAAGAGTAATTCTAATTATTATGTGTCAGGAGAAAGTACAACACAGCAATGACAGGAAGTCCTTTGTATCATAAAGTATGCATTATTTCATTATAAAAAAGAGAAGGGAACATGCATCCCTAAAAAGTACTAAGAGGAGCAAATGAGCCCCGAGTGGCCCCGGGGGAGAGAGCCTGAGAGCTGGGCCCTGGCTTGCTGGACAGAATCTTCTCAGCAATGGTGCAATGCAGACCAATGAGAGCCCTGCTCCCTCCTGTGTGCTCTGAGGAAATGTGTGAAGTCAGCTCATAGGCAGCCAGCAACATGGTTATCCCTGTGGCCGCCGCAGCCGTCCGCTCTGCCTCACAACGGACTAGTCAAAGGCGACCTGCTCGGCAAGGGTTTCAAAGCTGTGACTTTTCAGAAGCAGATCACCAGACCTGTCTTCTGAGAGCCTCTAGGCGGTTTGAACCACCAGCCTTTTGGCTAGTCTTTGAGCTCTGAACCCTTTGTGCCACACTACATAGAGAATTTGATGTATTTTTGTTCTTCTCTCCACAACGAAGGCAGGAAAACTAGCTTGGTTTCAGAGAATCACATGGAAAGCTCTCCCCCCTTCTCTGCCTTCTCAGGAGCTGTGACGACAGAGGGGGATATAATCACCCAAGAGAAAATGTAGACATCAGTGGTCCACAAAATGCCAAGTTTGGAAAAAACCTTAAAGACCAGCTCCAATCTCGCTCTCTCTCTCTGAAACTTTGCTGCTTTCAAAGTGCATGGCTACACACTGGATCCAACAGAATTGGAGTTAGTGACCTTTGAGTTACATTAAGCAAGAAAAGAATAAAGAAAGGCTGGGATGTCAGGCATCCGACCCTCCCCGGCTCTTTCTCTCCACGCTTGTACTCACTCCCAGGGCCCACGCAGACAGGGCAGCAGCTTCCTTCAGGGATGAACTCCAGCTCCCGGGGTCCGCAAGAGAGTGATGGGCATGGCTGGGGGGTGCATCGAACCTCCCCGCGAGCGCAGGAGCACACACTGCATGGCGAGGAGACCCACTCTGACCCATGCTGTGTGTTGGGGGGAGACAAAGAAGCAGGTTAGTCCCAGAAAACAGGCTTTCAAACGCCCCAATGAAAACAACACATCTCTTGCACAAACTGATAGTGGAGCCTAAATGGCTGCCCAGGTCACGTGCACTGGGCTTGCACGATTCTGGGGATTAGGAATGTTCTGATCCAGAGGGCAATGAAAACACTCACTGACCTGTTCTTTCTTTCAATCCTAAAATTTACATCTGAGACTTCCAGAAAAGACCAAAAGCTTGTGAAAGTTTAAAGAGGGGTTTCAAATGGGGAAAATCCATTATTTTTCAATTCCATTTTCCCAAACACTTTGTGAAGTTCCTTCATATGGCGACTGTGTTCTTTACAATGGGCATATAGTCTCCAATACCTCACATTTTAATCCAATCCTGCTACCTTTCTCTGCCTCTATGCCCCCCACCCCCCACCAGCTCTCATGTTCATGCTCACATCTCACTATCTCACTTCCCACCCGCCCCCGCCCCCTGCACCCCGTTCCAATGATCCCGGTCCTGGCTAAAGCACCTGCTCCATCCAGTTCTCCTACAAACTACAGACTCAGCTACACACACACACACACACACACACACACACACACACTAATCCCAATTCATTTCACATCGTCACACAACATACCCAACATTTGTAATGAGTCAGTGGGGACCCATGTTTGAGGATGCTGTACGATTTACCATGCATATAAGAACTAGAAAGTGTCTATATCAGCCATACTCCAAGGTGATGGTGAATGGGAGGAGAACGCTAAATGTAAAAAGCCACATGAATCAATTGCTGAGGGCAGGGGGTGGGGGGTCATTATCAAACTAGGTATTGCTCTCATTCCCGTATATACTCGAGTATAAGCCGATCTGAATAGCAGCTGAGGCGAATAATTTTTCCACAAAAACTGCATTTAAAATGTGCTGAATTTAAAATGAGGCACCCAATTTTTACCACAAAAACTGCAGTTAAGATATACTCAGCTAATATATGAGTATATGCGGTAGCTTAATGAATAAAAATTTTCTTAAGTTTTTCTCCTACAGCATCTTCCTAAATTTTGGATCCTGCTTTCTTTTATTCTATTAAATCTAGCATATATCTTGCCCTGTCCGACGTCTCCCTTCACCCACTTTTCTGTTATCCATCCCCCAGGGAGGAGGGAGCAGGGAGGGAGGGGAAAAATGAGGACCTGATGCCAGGGGCTTAAGTGGAGAGCAAATGTTTTCAGAATGATGAGGGCAATAAATGTACAAATGTGCTTTACACCATCGATGCATGTATGGATTGTGATAAGAGTTGTATGAGCCCCTAATAAAATGATTTAAAAAATCTAGCATATAATGAGATCTGATTCCACCCAAACCATATATGGGGTTCTATGAGAAACATCACAAATTCTAAATGCCCAGGCACTTCTATAATCTGGGGATTACAGCCATGTGTGGCACTGCGACACATAAAAAAGAAATATCCTCTGGCTTCTCCTGCAGCCAGTACTCAGAATAACTTTTCACCTCTCAAGGGCAAAGGAGCCCTGTCTTACCCAGGCAAGCCAAAGCCCCTCCCTTGTGCAAACTTTGCCTGGATGCAAGAACACCATGCCTGACATTTTAGAATTACTGACCACTTGCACGATTACTGTAACCGTGATGGCGATGGGAGGTACTAGTCATCAGTTACTCGCATGAAGACTTCTTTCCTCCCGATGGGTTTACGGGGCTGACAACAGAGGGAACGCACTCAAGCAAGTACAAAGTGGATGGAATCCAGGATTGACTCGGCACACAGGTCCGATCCCAGCTGGCTTTGGAACTGCATCTTTCTAAATCCCAACTTTCAAGCTGTAAAACCAACCCCCAAATCACACCTACTGACACTGAGCGGATTCCAACTGCCAGTGGCCTAGAAGAGAGAGCAAAACTACCTAATCCTCTGGGTTTCTGAGGGCATAAATCTTGATTGAAGCAGACTGCCTCACCTTTCTCCTGAGGAGCTTCGAATTGGTTCAAATGGTTGACCTTTGAGTTAGCACCTCAGTGTTTAACCTACCTTGCCAACAGGGCTTCTCCTTCACTGGCCTATTATAAGGGCTAAACCAGGTTGTGTTCTAAAACAGTCACGTGAGGTGTCCCATCCGCTGCCCTCCTCCCTCCCACTGCCTGGTTCCATAGCCCTCCTGCCCCTTCCACATATTTGTGGTGCTGTGGGTGCCAGGAATGGACACCAATGCGAAGGCCACTTACTCGCCCACCAATTTTCACTTCTGCTTTAATTACGTAGAAAACGTCTGATTTAGGACGGCATAGGAATGAGCAAGCCCACAGCGAGTGACTAATACAAGACCAGGAACAGCCGACCTTCAGACTAGAAAGGCCACAGCATCTAGGCAAGGGAGGAACCGTCAAAGGAAAACGGACTGGTCTGATGAGCTAGAGGCTGAAAGTCTGTCAAAATGCTTTATAAACCAAATCAAAAGGCCAAGGACAAACTGATGAAAAACGTGTGCAAATTCTATCAACTAGAATGGAACACTGATATAGAAAAGCACTTCAAACAATAAGAGGCAATTAGCCCCACTGAAAATATTCCAGGTTGTTCCATGCAAAGAAATAGTAATTAAAATGAAAATTGGATTCATTATAAAACATACGTATTAAATATTGGGAGACTTATAGCTCATAATACTTAGTTCTGGTGATGCTGCCATCAAATGAATTCCCATCCACAAAGCTGACCCTTACCATGGAGCAGGAGGGGGCGTGGGGAGGGGGTGGGAGATTTCCAGAGTCATCGCACAGGAGGCTACATCACGGGGTTTCTCAGGAGCCACTGAAAATATGAACTCAAACTGACAGAAGATTTCACAAGCATCGATATGCCAAATCTTCAGATGCCTTCCTCAATTAACTTTGCATTTAAAAAGTTGTATGAACTGACGATTGGATTAAAAAACTGTGGTACATACATACAATGGAGCACTACACATTCCTAAAAAGCAATGATGAAAGTATGAAGCACACTGCTACATGGGAAGAACTGGAGGAAATCATGCTAAGTGAAGTAAGTCAAGCACAAAAGGACAAGTACAACATGAGTCCGCTGAGGTAAGCGTTAAAAAAAAAAATGCAAAAGGGGCATAGGGAAAAAGCTACTGTATACAAACATTCCTGGGGTGAAGACCAGGTAATACAGCAGGGACCAGATCAAATACAGGGATACACATGGTAGACAACTAAAAAGGAGGTGGGGAAAGGAAAAAAAATAATAAAAAAGAAACGGGTAGCGGGGGCACAGGGCACTAACCCACTCAAGGGGAGGGTATTGTTTGTATCTCCACAGGGAAAGAAGGACCAGACTTCAACCCAGTGCTCCAAGATGTGAATGCAACATGCCTGCGTGCAGTAGGAAACCAGTGGAGAAGTCTGGGGGGGCCGGCCCCAATCCCAAATACTAAGTGCCCCTTCCCCCAGAAGAATTGATTTCAAAAGACAGCATTGAATTTGCAGCTCCAGGAAAGGGACATATCTGATCGGAGCACACGAGCGCAAATGACAGGGAATGAGGAGGAAGTGCAGCACATCCTGGCCCACCAGGCCTTGAGGAAGATGTTCCCAATTAGAGCAGGCAGTCCAAAGAGAGGACCACATGGCCAGTCCCACTATGAGACATGACGCCCCTCACTGACTCATAGCCCTACAGGGGACAACACCAGAGACACAGTGTGGGAACTACACCCTATCTGATCCCGCCACACCAAGGCAAAACACCAAGGGGGTGCAACAGAACAGCAAGGGCACAGAGAAGCGAGGTCCCCAGGGAATGCAGAAGGTGGACTCTAGGGCCAGGGCATAGTGCCCCAACAAACTGGACAGGAAAACACTCCTAAAGGCCAACAAACAATCCTTGAACTAACTACAAGCTTTTCTTTCTTGTTGTGTTTTGTTTTGTTGCTTGTCATTGGTTTGTTGTTGTTGTTGTTATTTTGTTGTATATTGTTGCTTGGTTTTTCTCTGTCTTGTTTTTGTGCATGTTATTATCTCTAAATAAGATAGGTTGGATGAACAATCCGGAGGAGAAAACAATGGGACCGACAGTTCGGGGAAGGGGGCGGGGATATGGGAGAGGGGGAAGTTGGGGGAAAGGAAGTGGTGTTAACAAACCCAGGGAAAAGGGAACAACAAGTGATCCAAATTGGTGGTGAGGTAGATGTGGGAGGCCTGGTAGGTCATAATCAAGGGTAATGTAACAAAGAG